ATTTTTAAAAAAATAAAAATAAGCTTGGCAGGGGCCAGGGAGATGGCTCAGTGGAATAAATGCTTCCCTGGCAAGTGCAATGGCCTGAGTTCAATCCCTAGTTCTGCAAAAAAAAAAAAAAAAAAGCTTGGCGGGCTGGTGGGATAACTCAGCAGACTAAGTGCCTGCTTAGGCAAGTGCAGGGACCAGGGTTCAAACCCCAGCACCACAGGCCACACCGGCCATGCTGGTCCCACCCGCAGGCGCACTGAGCCCACTACTGAGACCGGGTATGGTGGCGCATGCCTATAATCCCAGCACTGGGGAGACTGAAAACAGGTGGATCACTAGGAGTCCAAGCTGCGTAGTGAAACCCTGTACCAAATACATAAAAAAAAAATAATAATAAATAAAACTAAACCTGGCAAGCGCAAGGTCCTCAGTTCAGTTTCTCATTTACCTAAATCCTACCTTTATATTACTAGTAACAATTACCAATTAAATTGCAAGGTGATATTGAAAGCTCAGACAGGTGAGAGCAAAGCTAAGAAGCTAAAGGGCTGCTTGGTATCCTAATCATATTGCTTAGTTCTCAGAAAATTCCACTCCTGGGTTTGTTGAGCTTTGCCGACTTTTAGGATCAAAGTTTTCTAATGACTTTCAATTTATAGATTTCTAGGATACCCAGGTCATTTCTAACATGAAAGTAAATAATGACAGTCATGAAGACCTGTCATTTCAAAAGCATTCCTTACTCAGGAGATATACAAAGATAAATCCAGGCCAGGTGTGGTGGCAGATACCAATAATCCCAGTACTGAGGAGGTTGAGGCAAGACTACCTTGAGTTTGAGGCCAGCCTGGGCTACATATCAAGTTCAAGGCTAGCTTGAATTACACGGCAACATAGCAAGACTCTTTCTTTAAAAAAGCATAAAATCCTACATCTTCTCAAAAAAGGTAAATGCAAAGGTTTTTCCAAATTCATATGGGTGCTTGACTATCTGGCTGGGTTAGTAGCTCTGGAAGAGGCTAATTATAGTGTCCCCTATTCTGCCAAAACACTATCTAGAACTTGCTTCATTTCCCAAGAGGCGTCTTTACCCTGTTCCCTAGTTGCAGGAGTAGCAACTGCCAAGTAAGACAAGTATCTCTCAAATGACCAGACTCTATCTTGCTGCTGTGTCTGGAAACACCTCAAGATTAAATCCCACAAGTTTCACTTTATCTCTACCAATCATGTATGACAACACACTGCACGCCACCATCATTTCAAGCACTTCCTTTCCTTCAGGTATTGACAACTTGAAACTGTACAGAGAAAATGTAAGCTCTCTGCAAAAGTCAAGGTCACGTATGGGGCCGCCTCGCACGGATTTGAGGACTGGAACTCCCACAGCACAGCAATTTGTTTAAAGGGCCAAATTATCCAAAGCCAAAAGTACTGTCAATTTGAAACTGGAAACATCATCGTTTGGAGTAATATTTGTATGATCCAAAAAGAAACGAAAGGGCCCCGAAAACTACAAGGACATTTCGGGATAGGAGACTTTATAATCAACTACAAAACCTGAGTGAGCAAGTAGTGGGACTGGTCATGTGACCTTGGCATTACTACCTCTGGGCGAGTTTCTTTATCTACGGGCCTGGAGTTGGGTGGAACAACCTTTCTGGTTCTTTCTCCAATCATATGTAAAAATTATACAGAAGATTTTACATGAATGCCCCACCCTACCCAAGCTCCACCTATGGAGTTAAGGTGCAAGAGCCCCAAGGACAAAGAGAAGCTGGATGGTCCCATTCTTCTAGTAGAAACTGCTAGAGATCACTAAAGGCTTCAATAACTGTGCTGGAAATGGAAATAAGTACTTCAGGAACTGACAAGTCTCTAGGAAGCAGAGCCAAAATTAGCCACCGCTCCAGCAAAAAAAAAAAAGAGGAGCGAGCTGATCTGTTTGTCTCCAGCCTCTCTGCCAAACAATTCTTTCCGTAACTCCAGTGGAACGCCACACCTCAGTTCTCGACAAGCAGATCCTTCCTACCTTGGCGCTTTCTTTTTCCAGGGCCACACATCCTCTCACGTGGGGTGATGCTAGGGTCAGACCTCCCCCCGCCCCCCGGCTGCATGCCGGCGCGAGCAGCTTTCGCCTCACCCTAGGAGCCGGAAGGGGAGCTCAACACATGGCCCCGGGAAACCCCGGCAGGGCTGGCGGACAGCCAAGCACCGGCCCCTTTAAGGCGCTCAGAGCACACACGGGCGTGGGAGGGAGACCCCAGTGCCGGAGGGCCTGCGGCCGGGCGCCTCAACCCCACCCTAGGACAGCGCGCTCCCTTCCCTAGTTGCTCACCTTGGCTCCCAAGAGCCGGGTGGCCGCAGTGAGTAGAGCCATGGCCGGCAAGCCCCAGGTCTGGTGGAAGGGAAGGAGGGGGTGAGAGCTGCGGCACGAAGAGGAGCCGCCGCCGCTGCACCACAGGCCGCGCTAACCGGTGGACAAGGTTGAAAAGGAGGTGGCTGAGGGACAGACTAGACGAACCGGCAGCGGCGCCCAGCCCCGGGTCCTCGGCGAAGCCACGCCCTCGCCCGAAAGCTGATCCCGCCCCTCTCAAGCGCTTCACCCTGAGCTCGGCCATTGGTCTAATGTGGAAGAAGGGCGGGACCTGAGCGGTTGACAGCTGTGGTGGCGGGGAGGATTGGACCGTGTGGATTAGTCTAATTAGGGGTGAATGGTGTGGGGGGACTTGGAGGTGGCTAAGGAGGTGCCGGAGAACTCCGTGAACTTCCTTCTTGGGTTTAGCACATTTTGGGTTCTCCAGAGCGTAATTAAAATGAAGCTCCACCAGATAGGACTCGAGCTTTGAAGATTTTCGAGAACCAGACTGCTTAATGTATTATTACGGCAGCCTATCATTGTCGTTTCCTCTTGCCCTCTTGCATGCCTTTTTTTTTTTTTTTTTTAATTTTGAGACTGTAGCTCTGTAGTTCAGGCTGGCTTTTAACTCTCTATGTAAGGACTCACTTCGAACTTGTGGCGGTCCTCCTTCCTCAATCTCCAAATTGACGCTTTCTGGAAGAACATCTGGTTAAAGACTTAATGACTATGGTCGTGAAATCATCTGGAGAAGCTATGATGCAGAATTAGCCGGTTGGTGGAGATCATTTGAGGTCAGCAGGGCCTATCATATTATAGATACTAACAACCCAGTATGTTAAGAAAAGCAAAAATAACCTTAATATTGAGGGCTTTATGAGGTGTCCGCTGTGTATTAACTTACTTTGGTTTTGAGACAGGGTCTTGTTATGTATCACAGGCTGACCTTGAACTTTCTTTCTTTTCTTTTTTGAGGCCTGGAGATGCCTTGAGGGCATTTCTGGTTTTGGGTGAGTATCTGGATTCAAACCACAGCATCTTGAGCATGAGTGCTTTCTTTAAGCAGGCACTTAAACAACTGAGCTAAAATGGGCAGGCCCCCTAACCTTGAACTTTCATAGATGCTTTTTGCCTCAACCTCGTGAATGCTGGGACTACAGATGTGCGCCACCATGCCCAGCTTGGTTCTGTATTTAAGGACTGGACATATTCTAATGTAAAAATACCCATTTAGTATGATACTTTCCCCCCATCCCCTTTACAAATCCCTTGTGTGGAGGGTTGATTTTAAATAGACCGCATTGAGAGAGCTGCTCTGCTACATACAAAACCTCTACCCAGGGCCAGGAAGTTGGCTCAGCGGTATAAGCACTTGCCTGGCAAGCAAAAGGTCCTAAGTTTGATCCCCGGTACCAAAGGGGGAAAAAAAAATAAAGAAAAACCTACCCAAAAGTGGTTGTCCATCCATGGTTTAGCGCCAGCTTCCAACAAACTAACGTGTATGCATGCATGACAGGCAAGAGGGCAGCTCCAGTTGCACCGTTTCCCCGGATAAAGGGCTCTCCCCAGTCCAGCTGCATGGTGGGATAGTACGATGCCTTTTTTTTTTTTTTTTAATTTTTTTTTAAATTTTATTTATTTATTTGTGTGTGTGTGCGTGTGGCCAGCTCAGCCCACCAGGGGGCGGGGCTGGCTGGCATGTGGTGCTGGGGGATTGAACCGAGGTCCCTGTGCTCTGCTAAGCTTGTTTTAAGTAGGTGCTTTAGACCACTGAGCCATCTCACCAGCCCCACGATGCCTTTAATGACCTGTCAGACTTTTGATCACATTACTCATTGCCAACCCAGCCATAAAACCCTATACAGGAGCCAGTGAGATAACTCAGCTGACTAAGTGCCTGCTTAGACAAGTGCAGGGATCAGAGTTTGATCCCCAGCACCACAGGTCATGCCAGTCCCAACTCGAGTGTGCTGAGCTAGCCATGGATATCAGGCGTGTGGCACACGCCTGTAATCTCAGCACTGGGGTGTGTGTGTGAAAACAGGACCAAATACATTTTAAAACAAAACAAAACCATACAGCCACTTCATTCTGCATTTAGTCCTGGGGGATGCAAAACAATCCCTTATCCAAAATTAGGCATCAGACACCTTCCCTTTGGGTCACCTCAAATTAGTCTCAATTTAGCAAGACCTTAGGACTTTTGGACCTTGCTTAAGCCTGTCTTATTATTGGCCTTAGAATCAAGAGCTGATCCAAAGAGTACAGCACCTTATCTACAAACCCCAAGGGAACAGCCCCTTTATCTCCCCATAGCAGTAATAAGGTTCATCCATTTAAGCCAGGTCTGCATAGACCTCATTTTAAAGAAGTTTATAGCTTAGACTTTAAAAAAAAAAAAAGCAAGAAAGCTCTTCTTCTTTTCAAGTTTTCTTATAGCCAGCTTTACACCTACCAATGTTCCTCTGATATGGGAGGCAGTTAAGTAGTGTTTTTTGTTTTTATAGACAGGGTGTTCAAAAAAGGTCTCACTATGTAGTACAGTCTGGCCTCAAACTCAGTGATCGTCCTGCTTCAGTTTCCTGAGTTCTGGGATTACAATTGTGTGCCACAACACCACACCAAGCTCTACAATAAGTAGTTATTAAGAAAGAACTTCATGAAGAAGTCATGCAGGGGCTGGGGAGATGGCTCAGTGGAATAAAAGTGCGAGGGCCTGAGTTCAATCCCCGGTTCCACAAAAAAAAAAAAAAAAAAAAAAAAAAAGTCACGCAAGGCCCCAAAGCAGCACTAAACCTCAGATACCTCTGTCGGTAATTTCAAAGCTCCACTGATCAATATTTGCTCCCAATTTAGCATCTCATAGAATATTTCCTCATAACCTTAGAATAGTCTGAGCTGGTTCCTACCTTCTGGTTAATCATCCACAGGGACTAACCAGCAAATCAAAGAGCTGAACTTCAGAGCCCAAGAGACAGGAGGCATTCTCAGGATGAAACTACCAGAGACAATTGGATGGCCATAAATGTAACTTGGAGTTTTAACTGGAGAAAAGGTGGGGAACAGTAATGTTCCAAGGCCCTTGACATAGAGTCCTGGAGCCTAATGTCAAGAGGAA